CAAATCCCGTTGCATCAAGGTGACCTTCAGAGGTGATTGCATCCCATCACATGTAAAGGTTGGTCATTTTCGTCACGTTGTCCGACCATACATCCCAAGACCACTACAGTGCCACAACTGTCTAAAACTGGGTCATGTTAGTGCTGTGTGCAACAACAAGCAAGCATGCCCACGTTGTGCCGGACCTCACAAAGCAGAGGCTTGCCAAGCAACTCTCCTAAAATGCAGCAACTGCAATGGCAGCCATGAGACCTCGTCCAAAGACTGCCCAGTACTGAAGAAAGAGATGAGCATTCTGAGACAAATGGTTAAAGACGGATCCTCACGAAAGGAAGCGGTAACGGTTGTTCAACGACGGCGTTCCCGTCGACGGCGGTGCTCGAAGAAAAGAAAAAGAAGTCCTGTGCCGAAGGTGCCTTCACTAACGCCGCCACTGCCACCACCACCGCCGCCACGACCACAGAGACCTCCCCCGCCCCCGCCACCAGGTGGGGTACGTCCAGAGGTACCGGAAGACACTGTGGCGCTACAGAGAACATCCGGCTCTGACTGGCCCACTTTACCGCGGGTACACGTGTCTACGGAACCGCAATATCGACAGTCAACAACGAATATGCCCCCAGCAGGCAGTCTGTCCGCCCAAGAGGTACAAGTCTTTTCTGTACTGAGGTCGTTCATGAGTGTTATTCGCACTTTATTGGATAGTGTCTACAGATCCCTGCCGCTAAATGCGCGCTGCAAATCTTGGACACACTAGAACCAGTTCTTGCCGGACTTCAGTAACAAGATGGCGCACCATAGACCGCATCAGCCTTTCCGAGAAAAAGTCAAGCGTGCTTCCATAATTCAGTGGAACGCAAGAGGTGTACAGTCAAGAATGCCTGAGTTCCAACAATTCATTTTCGAAAATAAGTTTCCCATCATCATCATTTGTGAACCGCATTTTTCAAAAATACCTCGTCTGTCGGGCTATGAATCGTTCGTTTCTTCAACGTGCATTGAGCGAAGTCAAGTTGCTGTGTACATCCGTAAAGAACTCACTTACGTTCTCCAAATAGTAGACTCTCACAATGGAAATCACTACGTGTGTCTATATGTTAAAAAGAAGAAGTTGTCGTTTACACTGATAGGCGCATATATAGCGCCGTCAGGTCGACTAGATCAACAAATCTTGAATGGTATATTTGCAACGACTCCAGCGCCTTGTATATTGATGGGTGACTTCAACGCCCATCATATATTGTGGGGAAGCATCAGGACAAATCGAAAAGGCACGGACCTAGTTGATCTCGCATCAGAGCACGGGCTTCAGGTGCTGAACGACGGAAGCCGTACTTATCTCCGAGGAGTAACTTACAGCAGTTGCCTGGACTTGACATTAGTGTCGCATAGCATTGTCACGAAAGTCCAATGGTTCACAGATATTGAAACACGTGGCAGCGACCATATCCCCACGTACGTGACAGTCAGAGGTTTGGACGATTCTCCTTCTCCTGGACATTCAAGACTTATTGACTGGGAAGAGTTTCAGATATCAGTGGAGAGCCATTGCATGCACGGACCACCGGAGTCCATTGAAGAAGTGATTAGTTGTGCAATGGAGACTTCCACGAAGATATGTTCGAAAGAATCGAGACGCACGGCACTCGACCAAGAGTTGGAACAACTTAGAGCGGTCCGCCGACGTGCCGAAAGACGATACAGACGCACGAAATCTATCTCTGACCTCAGAGAATCCAGACGCATTCAGAAAAAAATCCAGCGTCGAATGCACAAACTTCATGAACAACGGTGGAAGAATTTTTGTGACTCGCTAGACCCTCGAAAGCCCTTGTCTCCCGTATGGAGGACTCTTCGAGGTATTCACTCGCATCCGCAGCAGCGTCACCCCTTCGCCGCTCTGGCGCTACATCAACGTCGCTCACAGCTTGATGTTTCTGGGGAATTTTGTGCAAAGATCGCCGGCGACATCTCTATACCGATCGATATAATGCCTCAGGATGTTCCAGTCGCACGAGATCAGCAAATGGAGGTTGCGTTCACCATGGAAGAACTTCATGCGGCATTGAACACATGCAGACGCTCATCGTCCCCAGGTCCGGATGGAGTGACCTATACTGCCCTACGTCACCTAGGCCCGAAGGCACAGCGCTGTCTCCTGGACATTTTCAATAAGTCTTGGCATGATGGAATGGTGCCTGATGAGTGGAAGTGTAGTAGCCTGGTGCCTTTGCTGAAGCCCGGAAAGTCTCCATTCGATTTGGCATCATACCGGCCTATAGCACTAGCAAGCTGCGTTGGCAAGGTCATGGAGAGGATGCTGCTTACACGCATGGAATGGTACCTGGAACATTATAACATCTATCCTGATGCTATGGCTGGTTTTCGACGAGGTCGGTCCTCAGTTGATAGCGTTATTGACTTAGTGACCTCTGTTCAGCATCAGAAAGCTCAGAAGCGGCTGTCGGTAGCTCTGTTCTTAGACGTGAAGGGTGCCTATGACAACGTGACCCATGAGGCTGTTCTCAATGCTCTTGAAGCAGCTGATCTTGGAGGTCGTGTCTTTCGATGAGTAAGAAGCTACCTCACAAAGAGATCTATGTTCGTTTTAACTGAAGATGGGTCTACGAATAAGTATTTCACAAGTCGTGGGGTGCCACAAGGTGGTGTTTTGAGTCCTACACTTTTCAATCTGGTTCTCGTGGGGCTCACTGAAATGCTGCCACAGACGGCTTATGTATCTCTCTACGCTGACGATATCTGCATTTGGGCGTCCGGCGTGACAAGACCTCAAGTGCGCGCAAGAATACAGAAAGCAGCAACAATGACATTGACATACCTTCGCCAGCAAGGTTTGACTATCGCCACAGAAAAATGCGCAGCGGTGGCGTTTACACGCAAACCGATGTCTTTCTGCTCGTTGTGCATCGATGGCAGATCAATCCCATATAAGAGCACTCATAGATTCTTAGGCGTCATCGTAGATCGTGACCTAACCTGGAGCCCGCATGTCACATACCTGAAGAAAAAGCTCATTGGCATTGAGAATGTATTCAAGTTCGTCGCCGGAAAATCATGGGGCCCATCCGTGCACTCCATGTTGCAGCTTTATACAGCCCTCTTTCTCGGGACTATCCGGTACAGCCTTCCGGTCCTGTCCAACACGTGCAAGACTAACATCCGTGCACTGCAAAGCGTACAAGCCCAAGCACTTCGGACATGCCTTGGCCTTCCAAGATGCTCATCGACAGTGTCAACTATTGTTATTGCACAAGAACAACCGGCCACAACGCACATCATTGTCGAGACACTGAGAGCGCACATTCGGCATTTATCACGGCTACCGTCACATCATTTAGCGTGTTTGACAGCTCGGAGGTCCCATTCTTCGTACTGCGTTATCGTGACAAAACATCAGGACATACTACCGCCTGGCTTCAAACTTGCCATGCATCCAGCAACTGCGCCATGGAGTCTTCGTCAACCTGACGTGCGCTTATCAGTTCCTGGAATCTTTAAGAAGGCACGCATGTCAACGCTAGCCCTGAAGCAACTGACTTAGCGTCTGTTGGACGAAAGGTACTTCGACCGCATACATGTTTACACCGATGGCTCCACTAATTCCAACAGCTCCACAGGAGCAGTGGTTGTTCCATCTGAAAATGTGTTGCTTCAGTACAAGTTTTCTCACACCACGACGTCGACAGCAGCAGAGCTCGCAGCACTTCAAAGTGCAGTAAAGTACATTCTTCACCAGGAACCTAACCAATGGGCCATCTTTTGCGACTCCAGGTCAGCCTTACAGTCACTACGGTTTGTTCTGCAGCACGGGCTACATGAACAATCAGTATATCAGATAATGCACGACTACCGCGAAGCGCTCGCGGAAGGTCACGATATTGTATTTCAGTGGTTGCCGAGTCATTGCGGAATCGTTGGCAATGACCGCGCAGATGAAGCTGCTCGATCGGCTTCAAGACCAGCGCACGCCCATACCACTCTTGAGAACGGACGCTGCAAGGCTACTACAATCACTTGCTCGCCGTATATCTCTCCTACAATGGAATACGCAGGGTTTCTCCAACACGCACCTGTATTCGATCGACCCAAACTTGCAACTTCGTTTGCCATCCGGGTTCCCACGATGCGCTGAAACTTTACTGTGTCGCATGAGGTTGGGCGTGGCATTTACGAATTCGTACTCTCGTCTCCTTGGAATGGCGAGCACTTCGGCATGCAACATCTGCGCCTGCGAGGAAACGCTTGAGCACATTCTATGTCATTGCCCAGCATACCAGACCGAACGACGTATTATGGAAGCCAAGCTCTGTCAGCTGGATTCACGGCCGCTTACAGAAGAGAAGATCCTGGGACCTTGGCCGACGGCTTCCCATACGCGCAAAGCCACGAAAGCCCTCTTGTACTTTTTAAGGAACACCAAACTTCACGACCGCTTGTGAAATAACTGTGCGAGGCCGTGCTGTGTAGTTTCGAGCTGACTATTTATGCTTCTCTTTCTTACTCCTCTTCTTTTCTGTCTCTTTTCGTTCTATTATTCCCCTTTTCCCCCACCCCAAGTGTAGGGTAGCCAACCGAGCCAAGCTTGGTTAACCTCCCTGCCTTTCCTCTCTATTTATCTCTCTCTCTCTTAAGTTCGAGCTTCACAAATATCGGCAATCAAGGACTATTCCAGGTAGGTATCTAGCATGTGTGACATTGTGTCTGTAGAGTAAAAACTCTGTTACGACATGTATCACATGGTTAGTCATCATGTCGCGAAAATCCTAAGCGCCGGCTCAGCTAAACCTCAGCAAAAATCTTTTCATGCCTTTTTTTGACGACAGTGTGACTGACCAAATCTTGGTAGCGCCGTCATGTTAAGCCAAGCTTGCTGCAAATATATATCAACGGTGTTTTTGCTACGTCTTGATGTCACGGGTAATATTTAAAAAATCCGTAAGGTTTAAACAGTAAAGGAGCGTTTCCAATGAGGAGCTCACCTTGGTCGGGTCTGAGAGTCCTGCGGATCCTTGCCAAGGCCGCGGCGACCATCGACTTGCGCCTGTTGATTTGGTGTTTCTTGGCAGCGGCCTTCTCAACGTTTTCTTCCTCGGGGGCCGAGACACGCGGCGAACTGCGCGACTTGGTCTTGCTGTGCTTCTCCAAGGACAGGTGGGAGACATTCCTGGGAGAACCGCCCACAAGGCGGACAGGGGCGTTTTTCCCCGCCACCTTCGGGACTGACGGCACCGCTCTTTTTGGGACTAGTGGTGCCAGTCTTCCTGGCGGTACTCGCCGCCTGCGGGTTCGACTTTCCCGACGTAGCACGGGTGAGCTTGGGGCTACGCGTTGGCATACCAGATTCCTCGTACTCGGAGCTGGAAGTGGTGCCCTTCCCGGCTGCCTTGGGTCGCGCACCGGCAGCTCTCGCTTTCACGGCATTGTCGTCGTGTTTCGGGTTAGAGACACCGCCTTTAGGCTTAGACTTAGTCCTAACGTCCTCGTGCTTGCGTTCCTGCATGGGGGAAAGACGTGTGAGGATAGTCTTACCGTGGAATCCGCGTTGCATGTGCGCATATTGGAAGTAGCGCAGATGTAGTTTGAACTGTACATGGCCTCCAATATTGGCACTGGCGCTCTATCTCGGAGGCCATTTGTAATTTCAGACAATTCGCTAAGCTATTTAAAAAAGGGTGTCACATGCCCGTTGATGACGTACTAATAAACATATTGTATGGTCTCTTATTCAAAACCCAATTGTATTGGTTTTTCTTAGACCACTCGACAGCACGAAGTATACAGCGTCGAATGGCGGAACGATAAATCGAGGAACTCATACGGAGTCAATGCCCTCATTCCCGAACTTCTATTTGGCAAGTTATTATTCCTCTTGGTCAGCCGGCTTCTCATATGTCCAGCGTCTAGCATGACTAAAATAGTTCCTTGAGAACATTCTTAGTGAGAGACGTTTCTTGTGAATGGGGACCAATGCAGGTAACAAAGAACTGTGATACATTTAAGACAAGCAACACCGAATTCGCGATATATTCGCCTCCAATGAATTCCTCATAACAAATCAAGCATTGTACTCATCAAACTGTGCAGTCCACTACATGTACACATTTATTTCGTGGCATTTTCTTCGCATGGTAATTTCACGTAGCATATCTTGTTTGAGTATATATGGTCATAATTTGTGACAAATATGGTGCATCAACTCGTCAAGAAAGATTCAATTATTCTAGCGACGCTTTTTCCATTTATGTTGAATGCACACAAAGAAAAACGTAACAGATCCTTGCACGAATCTCCGAACTCATCCGACTGCAGCATATACCAAACTGTACTCAACGCGTTAACCGGTGTTGACTGCCCATATTAATGAAGACACCGACGCAGCCGCATCATAGTGTTGAAAAAAAACGACGAACGGCATTTTTTATGGCTGTAGCGTAGTTGAAGACGCTCGAGGGTTGCGCATACTCCAGGTCACAGCGAAACATTGTTATTGGAACTGTTGTACTGGTGTATTGAAACGAATTAACGCAAGCGAATTAAACCAAACAGACTACAGCCACTGTTGACGATTGCGCTACAAGGGTTAGAGGTACGCCAGAAGCACATACTCGGTATCTTGGATTGTGAAATAGCGTTCCAGAAATCCTGTGGCATCGTTTTGTACCAAGGAAATACAGTTAGCCAGATTCGAACCACTCGGCTGCGAGAGTGGGCTTGTGACGCAGCATTCGCCATCTCCACCCTTCACTTTCCGACAGCCAGCCCAGCTGCACACCTCCTTTCAATAATGGCAAATCTTGGGCTCGGCTTCGATGCCAAAAAAAATCAGGGTTGCTTGGGTACGTGGGCAATGTCATTTCGGGGAATTTCTGTGGGTGGCCAGATACCATGGAAAAAAAAAGTGTACAGGTACTTCGGAAAGCAGCTGGGAACAGTGAGCCGTACCCTAGACCACGGTCGCCTGGATCGCGCACGCGCGGCGGTGTTTCTCCGGCCGTTCCATTCGGCGGGCGCCCCATTGAAAAAATGTAATCATGGCCTCTGAGATTGCGGGTGCACGGCGAGTTTCGTTGCGCGCTTGCAATCTCGGAGTCCATCATGTAACGTAAACGTTCCGCCGCACACCACGACGCGGCGCTCTTCTCCTACGTCCCTGATCATGGATATGATCATGATGATCATGGATATGTGTGAAAGGCTTGATTTGATCATTTGCAACAGTACCGAGAAGTGTGAAGCGCAAATAACATGGGAGGTAGGAAGGCTGCAGTCAACGATAGATTATGCGCTGATGTCACATAGGATGTATGATAAGCTCAGGGGAATGCACATAGATGAAGGTGGCTCCAGAAGTCTGGGTAGTGATCACAAACGTATCAAGCTAAGTTTTGGAACAGCAGTGAAAGTGGGAAGGAGACAAGATGAGCAACTACAGGAAAATTTTTATCCAGAAAGGCAAATTGAAATAGCCACTAAACAAATTGAGTAAGTAATCACGGAGGATAATAAGACAGTGTCGACATACACGAATCTAATTAGACTCTTTGAGCTAGAGCTTGCTAAGGCGCGTGACAAGTCACCCCGAAAAAGAAGACAAAAACCCAAAAGTTGGTAGGATGAGGAAGTTAAGAGAGCCATAACAAAACGTCAGGAAGCCTCTAGGGAACACAGACATGCTAAGCAGCGGGGTGAACCGACAGAAGGTGTTGAAAGAAAATGGGAAACCTTTCTAAGCTGTAGAAGGGATGCATCCCTTCTGATCAATGAAAAGATTAGAAGAAAGGGAGCTCAGTGGCTGGCAGAAGTACATAAAAAAGATAGAAAGGCAGCTGCGAAATTTTGGAACCATCTAAACTCCCTAAGAAATGAGACGAGCCTACAGCAGAGTTTTATAACTACAGCCCAAGGTGCTAGGCTAGAAGGGGACGAAGCTATTGAATATATAAGAACAAGGGTTACAGAAAAATTTCAACAAAGAAGTACTTTATGCACCACAATAGACAAGGACGAATCAAGTGGTGCAATGGCTCCATTTTCCCAACGAGAGTGGGAAAGGGCTGAGAAAAGGGTTCCTAGTAGTACATCAACAGGCCCAGATGGCATTCCAATTATGCTGATAAAGACATTAGGTCCGAAGTCTAAGCAGGCTTTGAGAGAGGCAGTGAGCAAAATAATAATCGATGGTGAAGTTCCCGATGGATGGAAACTTAGCAAGATGAGCATGATCTATAAAGAAAAGGGGGACAAAGCTGACATAAACAACTACCGTCCTATAACAGTGACATCAGTGGTCTACAGGCTGGCGATGCAGATTATAAAGGAAAGACTGCAGGCTTGGATAGAGGATGAGGGGGTGCTGGGGGAACTGCAGAATGGGTTTCGGAAACACAGGAGGTTGGAAGACAATCTGTTCTCACTGACGCAGTGCATCGAAATAGCAGAAAAGGAACACAGGCCCCTATGGCTAGCATTTTTGGATATCAAGGGAGCATACGATAGCGTGGTTCAAGAGAAATTGTAGGGAATACTGGACACACTAGGCGTGGAACATGTAGTCACTAATGTTTTAAAGGATATCTATAAAGGTAACAAGGTAGTTATAAAGTGGGAAAAAACAGGTATCCAAGCCTGCAGAGGTAAAACAGGGGCTTTAGCAAGGGTGTCCCCTGTCACCCTTATTATTCATGATGTACCTACAAGGATTAGAGGGCCCCGCCGCGGTGGTCTAGTGGCTAAGGTACTCGGCTGCTGACCCGCAGGGCGCGGGTTCGAATCCCGGCTGTGGCGGCTGCATTTCCCACATATCACATATATCAATCAATCAAGGATTAGAGGCCAAATTAGAGGGAAGTGGACTGGGCTTCAACCTCTCTTTAGTAAAACAAGGAAAACTCATTGATCAGGCACTACCAGCATTAATGTACGCAGATGATATAGTGCTAATGACCAACAACAAGGAAGATTTGCAGAGATTGATGGACGTCTGCGGTAATGAGGGAGATAGGTTAGATTTTAGATTCAGTAAGGAAAAATAACAGTCATGATTTTCAATGACAACGAAGGTAGTGAGCTTAGAATACAGGAGGTTACGCTAGAGATAACAGATAAATACAAATATCTGGGCGTTTGCATAAGCAATGGGACCGAGTACCTGAGGGAACACGAAATATACGTGACGACTAAAGATAACAGGAATGCAGCAGTGATGAAAAATAGGGCACTGTGGAATTACAATAGGTATGATGTTGTGAGAGGAAAATGGAAAGGGGTCATGGTTCCTGGGCTGACGTTCGGCAATGCGGTCTTGTGCATGAGATCAGAAGTTCAAGGAAGATTAGAAATTAAGCAACGTGGAATAGGTAGGCTTGCTTTAGGAGCTCACGGGAATACACCAAATCAGGGAGTACAAGGTGATATGGGATGGACATCATTTGAGGGCAGGGAAGCTAGCAGCAAGATAAAGTTTGAGAAGCGATTGAGAGAAATGGGGGAGGAGCGTTGGGCTAGGAAGGTTTTCAGGTACGTGTACATGAAGAATGTCGATACAAAATGGAGGAAGCGAACCAGGAAATTGACTGGTAAATACCTAGAAAACAGCAGGTGGCCAAACCAAAAAGAACTATCGGTTAAGAAGAAAGTGAAGGAAACGGAGACTGACATGTGGAGAATGGGCATGATTAAGAAGTCCGCACTAGAGATCTATCGAACTTTTAAGCAGGAAATTGACAAGGAAAGGATCTATGATAACACTCGGGGTAGTTCTCTACCGTTTGAGGCCAGGACGTGAGTACTGTGAACCAAGACATGTCGGGCCAAATACGAAGGGGTAGACACAGTATGCAATGCGTGTGGAGAAGAAGAAGAAACTGCCGAACACTTGATAATGTTCTGTAAAGGGCTTCACCCTATAGTTCAGGATGATGGCACAGAGTTTTTCAAAGCACTGGGGTTTAGGGACCGGGAGGGCAAAACAGACTTTAAGCGGGTAGACTTAACTAGAAGGAGGTTATCTGATTGGTGGCTAAAGTCAAGACACGAGTGAAAATTAAACCCTTCACAGCAAAGTACTAATCCTCAAACTCACTTTTTAAAGAAAAAAAAATAAATCTAGTTTTTGGTTCATTAAGTATTACGGCTTGGTGGCGCTAGCCACCGCCCGATCTAAAGGGTACAGCCACATCCATCCATCCATCCATCCATCCATCCATCCATCCATCCATCCATCCATCCATCCATCCATCCATCCATCCATCCATCCATCCATCCATCCGTCCGTCCGTCCGTCCGTCCGTCCGTCCGTCCGTCCATCCATCCATCCATCCATCCATCCATCCATCCATCCATCCATCCATCCATCCATCCATCCATCCGTCCATCCTGCAGACGACGCCGACCGCGTCGCGCCATAGAAGTGCTTGGAGAAATGCACATTGGACGTCGTTGACGTGGCGACTAAAAGAAAGGAACGCTAATAAGTGTTCTTAATCAGACTCGACA